CGAATAATAAGAAAATGGGAGGGAAAAGGGGGACGGCGAATCGTGCGTTCGTGTGTCAGCTCACCGGCGAATCACCGTCGTCTCCTTTAGTTGCACAATGGAAATATTTTCTGGCGCGCGGGGCTCGAGAGACTTATTCGCATGTAAGACGTGTATGCACTAAGTATGCGCGAATCCGTGTGGATGAGGCGCATGCGAAATGAACGGAGGTACTAAAAGGTATTAAAAGTAACGGCTGCGTGGCACGATAACTATTAAGCCACAACCGTGGATTTTGCTCGGCTGGCTGCTCAATTTCATGATGGTTCCTACTTGCCCTCTTCGATTCTCTCTTAATCTACGGCATGCACGAAACTGCAAAACATTGTGGAGCGTTTAACCAGAGTTTAAGTTCCAAAGCGACGAGACGCGCGACTCATATCGCGACCCGAGAAAGAAAAAAAATCGAAGGACGAGAGCGTACCTATGAAAACCTATGTAATATCTTGTGTATGCAGACGTCACGTACGCGGTGCGTGTTCACAAGTGTGTAGCGAAAAGTGTTCGTGCCGAACACGTGTTCTCCGCGTTAATGCGTTACCCGCACTGCGAGTAAAAAGGCATTTTTCTTGAACCGGCCGTAACGCGATGCAGCTCTGCTCCACACTTGCAACGCACTTTTAAACCTGACGATATACGAACCGTGCGATCAATTCATTCGAATGCATCCTCTCGTCGAGATTGAGCGCTTTTTAACGTCGTTGAAATAAATAAATAAAAAAAAAAAATAGTCACCGTCTGATTACATTCCTTTTAATTCATATTTTTTTCTTTTACATTCTATCGCTATCTTTTCCTTCTTTCACATATCCACAAAATGAATTGCTTTGTTATATTCCTGAATACTTTTATTATCAAAAACGTATCTCAATTTTAAGAAAATCATTTTTATCGTCACTTTATATATTGAAAATATGTCATTATCAAATTAATTCCTATAAATATTTAATGCAAAAAAGATGTTATTGCCTTTGATTTGTAATCTTTTTACATTCTTTTATTTTCGTACATATTTGCGACAGTGCAAATATACATGAACATAATATGTGCCTGAACGCGAAGCTGAAGCTTCAGAGAAGCGACAGAGAGGGAAGTAAAGATAATAACGTATTCGACGAAGAGAATGGCACTACTCATGCAGTCATCTGCCCGCAGTATGAATTACATTGGCGATTGAAACTCGTTCGTGGTGGAAAAAAAAGCACGTGCGCAACCTCGGGCTGTCGGAGGTGCCGAGATTTGCATATTAAATGGGTTGGGATTTATAACGGTCGGTCTTTCGAGCGGTGTTAGCAATATGTGCGATAAATAAAGAACCTTCCTCGCGAATCGATAACGCGCAAAGTTTAGTTTTTGCGCGAGTAAACATGAATTTCGCGCACGTTAGACTGCGTGAGAGAAGAGTGGTAGAAAAGTAAAGAAAAGCCTTGCAAAACGTGTATTTTAATATGACTTGACGTTTAAAATTTCTTGAAATACAGATAGATTATGATATATTAAAACTTGTCATAACATGCGGCACAGAATGACAGCGTGTTTTAAGCATTGTTAATTTATTGCAACTAAATTTACTATACAACTCAAAAAATGAAACCTGAACCAATCTACATTTGTGTACACGATAGGTTTTTGCTCATTTTAAACTATAAACTTATAAAATATTAAAACGTGATTAAGAATGAACCTGTAAACGCGGAGAGTCTAATCCCAAAGTATAACTAATATACTCAATTAAATCAATTTACGTATATGTCATCGTTTTTGCGTCTCTTATTCATTCAACGTTACTCGTAAGATTGATCGAATAATTCACTCGTCAGAAAATTTTCTGGATCGTTCAAGGGTTATACTGACTCTCTTAAACCGGTTTTCATCGCTATTCGGCGGCAATATCGAACTAAGTTATGTTCCGCTTACGCGAATTTGTGCGTTCCGCGTGCCTCGTCGGCGCTTTTGATATACGAATACCTCGTCGCGGCGGGTTCGAAACGGGTGGGACACTTTGTTGCGAAACGACCTTAGTAATATCTATTACCGCGTCGGATTTAAGGGGCATTAAAAGATAAGTTCTACGAAAAGATGTTCCCGCGTGTGTTACACAAAGTATAAAATAAATACGATCCTGTAATATAAAATTTATACATTTTTATATGCCATCTCCTTTATACTTGACTTCATCATTTGTTACATACACATGCAAACAGAAGAAGTATAATTATTCTATCAATTACAATGGGATCTAAATTATTCTCGGAAAATTGATATCTTTTAACCGCCTTATTATTATTCTGATAATTTGTATATATTATCGATAAATGATCCTATTATTGTGAGTGTTGTCTATATAATAAGTAGCATAGAAAAACAAAATAGATTACTGAATTTGTCTGTTGAAAAATATTATGATGTATTATTTAAGAATCTCTTTAAAAAGGCGATGACACTTTGCAGTGTTAAAACTGTGAAGAAGCTCATTTATCTTCGTTGTGCCACCAAATGATTTTTTTCATCTAAATAAGCATCTCGTTTTACTCGATTGTAAGAACAAAAAGGCAGCACTTGCTTTAAACATACATAGAAACTTTCACATATATTGTTTAATGTGAAATAATTACATATATACATATTTGACTGATAAAATTCCACTGATAATTTGAGTGATAAAATTTAAAAAAAAAAAAGAAAACCTTCCAATACAACACATGACAGAAAGTATAGTTTTTCCGTGAATTGTCGCACGTGGAAGAAAATATGGATTATCATCGTCAAAAGCGATAATCGGCTAACCGCGATAATTTGTCCATGCGTTTGTATATCTAAAAAGCCGAGTGTCTAGTCGGAGTCGAAGCGATGATAGCAAACACAAATTGGTGGTGGCTGGACTAATATACCCGAATATGATGAATGGTCTTTTATATCCACGGACGTAGTAAGGTGTTATGCGTTACGTTAGTGTTGAATTATTGCGTGCGTGGGGCAACCGCGCGTCGGCACAATAACGCAGCCCGCGGGAGGGCCTAGTCCCGGGGTCTGACTGGGTCTGACTGGGTCTGACTGGATCCGACTGGGACCGACTGGGTCCCTGCCCACGTTCGTGGTCCGAGCTTTTACCCGCGAGACATCGAGATACGCACCCGCTCGATACCCTCTCTCTTCCCCTCTCTCCTCTTTTTTTCTTCCCTCGCCTCATCGCGATTTTAATCGAACCGCGTTACGAGCGAATCGAAAGATCAATCGCCATTGATCTCCTGGAGGATTTATGATCATTTCTCTGTCTTTCTCTCTCTCTCGACTCGTTATTATCATTCATGAAGTATAATAACCTGCGAAACAAACGATGCTGTTCGATACTTTACAACCGCGCATGATCTCATCCCCGTTCGATCGACCTCCGCTTATTCTTGCCCTTCACATATTTGTCTCATTCTATCACCTCTTAAAATTTCTATGATAAAAATATTAGGAATATTTTCCAAATTCAATACAACTGAGATTGATCAGTTCTCGCGCATTACGTAAGAGTCTGTCAACGCCACATGTTATCACCTTCCGAACGATCGTTTAGCACCTTAACAGCTCTTTACCAAATTACCGTTCATAAAATACTGACGACGCTCGATGGAGGAATGACTGGAAAGAGACAGATACGTTGATCCAATCTACTCTAATTATCACTAGGGAGGAAAGCATAATAATAGCATCGTCTCAGACTCAAAGTTGCGCCACAAACTTCGTAGAGGAAGGACAGAGGGAGAGAGAAAGAGAAAAAGAGGGAAAAGAACAGAAGCACTGACGCATCACTGGCGGGCTTGATTGATGGACGAGTCGCCATGTTTATAATTAGAGCCCGACGTTTCCGGTTCATCGTCTAACGTTCGGGCCACGATTCGCCGTGGATCAATCTCCTTTCTATAACCGTTGAAAAGTTTCATCGGTGACGCGGCCACGTAGAACAGCGCTAAGACATGAGTAGTCACGACTGCGCTAATTACGGTATCTCGGAATCATTCTAGCTCCTGTCTGTCGTGCGTGTGATAGACGCGAGCACGCTATCGCGCGGAAACGCGCGTGAGAAAATGTGCGATTTCATGGGCGTTGTTCCGCTTCGCTCGTCGATTCTAATTTCGGTGCTTTCGGTGCCGAGCAGATGCAACGTGTTATCGAACCTTTTAACCACGTGGACGTTTACGACGCGGTCGGACGTACCGGCTATACGAAAATCCACGTGTGCAGGAAACGAGATGCGGGTCGCGGCAGTCACGCATGTGTGTATCTTTCTCAACGGTCGGACAAATTCAAACAATGGATCTAAACAAATTTGCAAAGTAGTCTTCTATGAAAAAATTCATATGGTCTCTGCTCGATTTATGCCGCCTGTTCTTTCAAACTTCTTTTAATCGAGTCGCGAACATTTCAATGTATTTTTTTAAAGGTAGGAGTAGCGCGTGACAAAACGTATGATGGATTATGAGTGAGTTAAATATAATTTACAGGTATACGAATATGTTTAAGTAGAGCGCGCGTACCCTTATAAATCTAATACTGGCTAAGACTTAAAGACAGTAATTAATTACTTATTTTAAATATTAAAAGCATCGTTGTTCAATACAAGTAAGTAATTAATTACTATCTTATAATAATAAATTAATCAGTATAGATAGTAAAGACACTTTTTTACTTTTTAACGTGCAAATTTGCGATGTATTTTCGCTTCCGTTATAAAATTGACAAATAACGAAAGAATCTCGCGGAGAAGGTCGTGTTGAAAACAATTTTACGAGTGAAAGAATCTTGTCTTTGAGAACATGCTGCGAAAACGTCCAATATTTATAATACAAACTCCATTATATTACTTGATAATTTTTTTTCGCAGGCATCATGCCAAGCATCATACATTATTATTACGTTAGATCGTTTTATCGAATACATCGGGGTAATTATTATTCTGTTGATAGACTCACCTCTACTCTGCATGAAAGTAAAGAGGTCGTCAAGGAATACCTTCCGTTCAGGGGTATCATCCAGCTCATACAACTGAAACAAAAAGAAATAAAGACAAATGAGTCTCGTCATAATATACAAGACAAATAATACATTTCAATGTACGGGAGCGTCTTGCCACTAACGTATTAACTCAGAAAGGAACGTGCGCCCCTTTTTCTATATTTACAGAAATTACATACGTGTAATGATGGGACATCTTGCGCACGATAATGAGTACATCTCCATTACACGCAACGTTACGTACATATATACTATATTAAAGAGGAGCGTAGACGATAAGATCTTTTCATGAGTTGTACGATTAATACAATTCAATGTAATCAAGCAATAATCAACATTTTTATGTCGAACGTCTTTATAATCGCACAAATATTTTCTCTCTCGCAATGCTTTCCCGTGCCGATCGGGAGAATAAAACGTTACCTTGCGGCGTGGTAATAAAAACAGGAGTGAAACAAGTGTGCTCATAGCGACAGGCAGATTAGTTAGCTCCGATTATTAATGATTCCGTTTAACCTGCCTCATAACCCGAAACCCTCGCCGACTATATGAAAGCCAAACCCCCTTCGGGCTGGCGGCCCGTATTATCATATTTGTTATGTACGATGTGCTATATCTAATCTGAGACCTCCTAATTGCTTTTATAATATCAGCCTCGTACACCCTCGCTTTCTCTTCTCCTAGTGTCTCTCCTTATCCTCTTTTTCTCTGGCGCTTTCTACATCCCTTAAACTCTCATTCGACAAGCTTGTTGCAACTACGAGCTTGTTCCTTTTCCTCTTCTAATACTTTCCGCTCTTCGCAATTCAACTCAACTTGACTCGACTCGCACATTTGCCGCGACGATAAATTCTATTCAACTAATCGTACGATGTTTCGCAACACTATTCCTCCCTAAGGGCGAATAATAATTAATACGATGCCTTACGCTCACGCCGTCTATCCCATCTAGTTTTCCGCCTAGATTGCCCGCGGATTATGAAAGCAACAATAAAACAAAAAAGTATTGTAAAATCACGAAGTGTATGTATATTACGCACTTGAATTTCAGTTGATACTCAATATATACGTTCATTTAATTACAAAGATTTGTTTAGAATCTTCTTTTAGCATCAATACTCTTTTATATTTAAAACGTGCGTTTATTTTAATAGGAAAACTAATTAACTATATTAATATTCGAAATAACCAATTCAATTCGTAGTTCTTGCATTTTATTATTAGCAATGTAATTAATGAGAGTACCGCACAATGATATCGTTCGATGCGATATAGAAATGTAAAGTAATATGTCAAAGCGTAACGCCCATGTAAAGACGTAAATGTCGACGCCTGTCATGGGAAAAAATGCTGCGCGCACGAGATGTATGGCGACAAAACGAAATATGTGCAGCATACACGCACAACGCGCGTACAGCTGTGTAGAACGGGCAGTTTCTCAGCATTGTGGCAGTGGCAGGTGCCTGGCAATCGCCACCACGTGCAAGTAGATCGTTAATCGAAGTTAATCAATGAAAGAGAGAAAGAGAGAAATTTACATTCACATTCCTCGATCAATTTTCGCGGCAACCCCTTAAATTTGCTCTCACCCTCTTAATCTCGTTCGCTACCCTTGATGAGAGCGCGAAGCAACGACCGTATCGTAGGAATGAAGGAACGAAGAAACGAACGGATGGACGGACAGTATTTCTCAAGGGCCATTTTGTACCACTTTCTCGTGTTTTTTCTTTGGCTACACGAGCGATGAGCTCGTTAGGGGCAGCCGGAGGGAGAGGACGAAGTAAAAGGCAAGGGAGGAGGGGACGAAGTATAGAGGCTGAGGGTTCAAGCGAGGTATATTGATTGATCTACAGTTAAGCGGACTGACGGCAGCCACGTGAGGATCAGGGGAGAAGAGCAGCTCTCTCTCTTTCGCTCGTTCGTATCCTATATGCTGACCATGTGTACTTCACTACCGTGGTAAAATAAAGACGGGGCAACGGAATTTGCTCTCGATGATGCATGCGCCGCAGCCCCGCCCTCTCCTTCTCTCATCCACTGACGGCGAGTGAATAATAATTCCTGATACGACCGCCGGTTGATCGGACGACTTTCGTCCCAGGCAACCACGAGGAGAGCCAACTTTGTCGATGATCGATGTACGCGTGCTTAGTAACGTTAACGGACTCGAAGGTGCTGTGATTATAGCGACCGAAGTGTATACACACAGTGCGTTCGGCAAGAATATCCGGTAATGATCGCATTCGATGAACAGAGTGATTCCTTGAAAATTTTAATCATCGAATTTCAATCATCTTCTCTTAACGGTGTGTCAAGTTTGTAAACTCGTTTGTTGTAGAAATTAGCTACAAGATGTTTGCGATTTTATTTCACTGATTGCGAGTCACAATAAATGGTGATCTCTGGTCAATTCGCAAATTCGAGTTCGTTGAAAAATATTTCGTTAAATATTAATATGATTGAAGGGAAGTGGATACATCTACCGCAAATGTATCACGAATTGCGTCCTTCGAATTAAAGATCATCGAACTTTCTAACTCTTTTTCATTCTGGCCTCTTGACCGCGCGAATTTTACGACTTTAAGACGCGAAACGAGATAGAAGAGAGAGACGAACGTCGAGAAAAAGAAGAGATCTCTCATAAGTACTTAGTGTGGCACACATCGCTAGCTTTATGAGCAACAATTATCGATCAGTTTTTTCCATCGATCGCGCAGTTTTCCACTGCATCAGAGATAGTTTGCTTTCTTCCGGTTACGTAAAGAGCGTCGATAACTTTGTTTCCGTAGTATTGCAAGTAAAAATAGAAATAAATACAGACATAAATATTCATAATATCGTACAAAAAACATTTTTTTTTACCAAAAACAACAATTTTTATATATTATATATCTCTAAATTTCTTACAATGAAATCTCACTATCAAGAAAGTAAAAATACAATCATTCTTGAAAAAAAGTGAAAATATTTAACTTCTTGAAAAAAAAAAAAAAAACAATTTTCACTCCTTTTAGACAGAATTTTCACTCCAAAAAGTGAGATTTCATTCTAAAAAGAATGAAGATTGTCACTTTTTTTTCAAGAAGTGAAATATTTTTACTTTTTTTCAAAACACAAAGGTGGTTGCATTTTTTTTTACTCTCTCGAAGTGAGATTTCACTGCAAGAAATTTAGAATGTACATACAGTATCATGACATTTTTAAAAGTCTATCTTACGGTCCCCTGAAACGGATGATGATAATGTAAAATTTCCATACGCCAAGCCTCGCTAGGGGACATCGGTGAGCAGCAAGTATTTACACTCGCCAACTTATTATCTTAATTATATAATTAGCCACAGGTCCGTGTACTTTGAAAAGCTTCTCGCGAGCGATATATCGTTACATTGCATCCGCCCTCGCAAATGTAAGGGGTCAACTTCCGGCCGTAAACCCTTCTTAAGGGTGCGTCTCGAACGGAACGGAAGCGGGCGCAGTCTTACGTAATGCGCTCCAACTTTTCTTTTCGAGATTCAAGATCGAGATATCAGATAAAAGCATAGGACTTTTACGCAGGGATACAACACTCTTGTCAATAATGATAATGCTAAATATTGATTTATACTATATTAAAATTAAATAAATTTTTAATCGCAAATATCGATTTAAAATTCAAATGTGACAAATATAATTTCTATTACGATATAATATTAAGAGATGATTACTTTGTAAGATATATTTGAAAACGTCGAAAATCTTTTAAAGGTTCTTTTTATAATACTACATTGTTAAGTGTAAGATATAGTATTGCTATATTGATACATAAATTTTATATACAAGAGAGCGAAATAATTGAATATGTCTATATGAGTAATCATTAGGAAGTCCAATCTGCTATAACTAAAAGAGCTAGAACAAATAGAGGTAGGCGGAAGTAATTTTCAAAAATTCTCAATCAATTATATACATATCAGTTTAGATCCTTTGGGATCAGTAACAGAGAATGTGATAAGTGATTTAAATTTTTAAATAGTTTTGTAATTTTATATATTTTATTTAATATATTCTAGGATCAAGTGAATTATAAAATAATTTCCAAACATCACCCAACTGCGAATTCCGCGGTAAGTTCGCATGAATTATGACAAACGTACGAAACAAGATAAAAATTTTATCGCTCATTTCCTCCGACGCGACGTTATATTTGCTCGTTCAAAGGATTTGAGAGATCGTTAAAGCGCGAATGCAATTACGACGACAAAAATTTTATTTTATTATAGAAATCTTTTGGATATAAAGCGTTTTAGGCGCATGTGTTATACATACATAATTAAAGAAGAATTAATATTAATATATAAGCAAAATGTTTTTAAATATCATTAATAAAATTATCTCTTTAGAAGAAAAAGAGTCCGCAAAACATATCTTTTTTATAAGAGTACCATTATCTTTCGTTTTAATCTAAGGCTTGAAATTTCAAAACATTCCTCTCTTCTTATACATAAGTTTCATAGTCTTCTTTGATCGAATAAGATTTTATAAACTAATATCCGGTTAATCTCTTTACAAAAAGCATTCTCACAAATGCATTCAATCAATATCTTTTTTTACAAATAGAATAACACTCGTAAGTTAGCAATGAATAGACAATAGACAGTATAGTTCTTGAAAACAAGGATGAAAATCGGAGCAAGTTTGATTCGCCGGTGATAAGAATGAGAAGATATCCGGTGAACGATGGAAATGGGCAACTTTAAGTGGGGATATCAAGATCAGCAACGGGTTATACGAGCGGCCATAATAGTTGCTACCATTACCCGCTTCCAGGACATTAAAAATAGCAAAAGGCAATTATAATCATTATGACGTCGAGCGGCGCGTACAATGCCGCTGGTGCGTTACGCTCCTATAAAATCTCTGTAACGTCCAGAACAACGAGTGGCCCGAGAAGCCCGGCCTTTTTTTTCTCTCTCTCTCTCTCTTTCTCTCTCTCTTTCTCTCTCTCTCTCTCTCTCTCTTTCTTTTTCTCGCTACGCCCAGTAAACTCCACC